GTTACAGATCATTTGGACAAATTTTCAATTAATGAGAAGCCGTGCAATTTACAGAGAATGTATGGGGATTTTGACCGCGTCCCCCAAAACCGATACATTCTCTGTTAATTTGATGAAACTAGAAATAAATACTGTTCAGCTAGTTTTTATCCAAACGTTTTGAAACTTGGTACATATACTAATTTTTGGGTGCCCTTTCAACTGGTGGGGTTTGTTTCGTGAATAGATTGTTACAGATCATTTGGACAAATTTTCAATTAATGAGAAGCCGTGCAATTTACAGAGAATGTATGGGGATTTTGACCGCGTCCCCCAAAACCGATACACTCTCTGTTAATTTGATGAAACTAGAAATAAATACTGTTCAGCTAGTTTTTATCCAAACGTTCTGAAACTTGGTATATATACTAATTTTTGGGTGTCCTTTCAACTGGTGGGGTTTGTTTCGTGAATAGATCAATATTTCTTTGATTAGTGCCCAGTCCCCTGCGCAACGTCGAAATGGCCAATAGATTTCCATACTGTTTGACTTTCAAATAGAGTGACAGTCCACTCTGAAAGTGCATCATTTTCAATGCTTTCTTGCTAAATGTCAGTGTCCTAGTTTCTAAGTGATCACCATAATTGATTTAATTATACAGTCGACGTAGCGCTTAGGTTTTTACGTGTCTGGACAGATTCCCAGACAGAATGTTACGAAAAACTAAAAGGAGGAGTTTCTATACCTAAATGCAGTGCAGTATCTTTGATTACACTAGATGAACAATTTATAAAAGCTTAGTAGTATATGTATCTGGTGTCAAAACCTAAAACACGAGCTCAAAATCATTTTGAGCATTTGAAGTTTGTTACTTATTTCGAGTCCTGGACACTCTGCTCTGCTCCTTTTTGGCTTATTAGTTTATTCTATTTACAGAAGTGCAGTGAATACCGAAACATCTTGCCCTACTCACTTGGAAACAAAATAGATTTTACTATCATGGATACAGACCCAATGCCAGAAGGTTTAAGCAATGACCAGATAAAAACATGGTCAAAGCAAGTTTTGGAGGATGGTTTAGATGAAATCTTACAACCTGTTTACGATGATGATGAAAACCGTAAGAGAATCATTCACGAAATAATTAGAATGGAAAAAGCACCAGATGATCCTCAAATTGATGAGCCAACAAAAGAACGCATCAATGATTTTATTGCTCACACTATTAGAAAGGCTAAAGAAGACTTCAGTGCAGCCTTGTCCGCCTTAAAATCGCATGRATCACATGCATACTTTACAATTACCATCAACATGAATGGCACCAATGTCAGAGGTGTCCAACAGCACCGCCGAGATCTGATTAAGATCATCCTTGGTAATCTTTTTGGAGTAGTGTTCTGTCAAGAATTGCCTGGGTGTTTTGAAAAAATGATTAAGGATTTGACGACTGAAAACAAGTGGGACTTTGTGAAAGTAGAAAAAGAAGCAGCCGTGATATGGGACACAACGAAATTCAATGGCACCAAGCCAACAGAACGAAGTATGATGAAGATCAGAGATGAGTTATCAAAAAAGGATACACTAGCAAGCAACCTTCTCTCTCGAGCTGCATTTGTGAAGTTAACGATAGTTGAAGACAATAYCAGCTTCATTGCAGTATCATATCATGGCGAAAAGAATAAGATTGAGGAAGAAGTTAGATATCAGATATTCGATTGTCTAATTGAATTTGTACAGCAACTGAGCCAAGAAGAAGGAGGTCTTCCTTTCCTTATTGGAGGCGATTTCAATTTTGACACG